TCTCTGATTTCGTTAGGCCTCTACTGGCATACGCTACTGGGTGTAAACTTTGCTCTCTATGCTGGTATAGAACAGCTCCTAAACCTCCCCTACTTGCATCTAATTGGCTTTCGAATTGCTCTATCCACGTCTCCCACCCATCTTCGTCCTTTGGAATGTCTGTTTTTCTAGAGAAAAACCGGAGTCGCCTATACTTTCCGCTAGTTATCACCTCCATTGGGAATCTACTCTCCAATTTATTCTCAACATTCTTCGGTTGTGTTAGTAAACCATCTAATTCGGTCTGGCTTAACAGGTCATTCACGTATAATTGTTCCACCGCTGCATCTCTCTTCCCTTCAATCAATAATATGTCAAATTTACTAATATCTCCATTTATAGGGAGTATGGCTTCCTCTCCCAGTTCTAAATTACAAGCATCTTCGCAAAATTCGCATAATATGTGAGTTTCTGCTATCCCACTAACTATTCTTTCTCTTTGGACCAGTCCTTTGATCTTGGTAGACAGTCCCGTCATTAATGATATCAACAAAGTTCTGTTGGATGCATTCAGATTTCTTGATCTGAGTAAGATTGCATTATTTGGATTAATGCCTTCCTTTTTACACCAATCTCTTGCTAAGCTTCGAAATTCCTCCATTCACGCTGTCGGTTATTTAATAATACAGTAGCTCCTTCCCGTGATTTATTTCACCGTAATTGCAAGTTGACAAAAATAAGTATTCCCGGATGACCCCCCAAAATGTAACCGGAATTCCTATGTTGAATAATCGATCAATGAGAATACTTGCAAACTTTTAAAATTGTTGTGTCTCTTTAATTCTTAATAGCAGAATTAAACCTAAAACTAAGAGCTAGTAACTGTACTATCCTCGGCGAAATAAACCAAGTATGTAAAACTTAAACTGGACAAAGCAAAAGTTCTAAACAATTGGCGCGTTCCTTAGGAACGCGTCCAAGCTCACGCGCCATCTCTATAGCTATGGACACGCACAGTCAACATAATACAGAGGGCAAGCACTGAATGAGTTAATGTACCTATGTTACAGTTACAACAGGTTTAATCTTGCAGTTTAATAAATGCTTAGAACAATTTTGTAATTATAACAACCACCAATTTAGACCAAAAATTGATAATCTTGGATTGGATTGGATTGATTTGGTGTAAACACCAAAGATAGCCCACGAAAGTCTAGAAGACTTATTTCCAGTGGGGTCCTTCTGGTGGTGATTGGGCAGTACACCGGGACACAATCCCTTACTCTTTTCCGAAGAGTGTACTGCTTTCATTAACGTGCACATGGGCCATCAATGCACACGGGACCAACAGCTTAAACGTTGCTTCCGAAAGACAGTGCGCTATTAAAACTTGTGTTTCACCCCTCCAGCTGAAATACAAGGAGTGGCAGCGATTGGAATTGAACTGCACAGTATGCTATTATAAGTTATATTTAGCATAACATTGATTTATTTTCAAATTCAGCATGTTCTGCTTAATGCTTACACTGTGTTCTATTATATACTACTTATTATTATGTTTAATGTCATTTATGTTTGATACTATGAACCAACTGGGTCTGAAAATAATTATAGTAAAAATATCTAACCAATTGCAACAATTACGATATTTATTTCACCCTTTTAAGACCCCTTTTCACAACAGAATGAGGGAAAACACTTTCATGGTGTAGCTCTTCGGTCTAAAGAACTTTTGTTTTCATAAATTACTGTTACGTTTTAGTGGAACCTGATCAGGGCTACTGTAGGATACTGTAACCTTGTCAATCTGTGAGACGGTAGAGTAGGTACAGCATTCAGTGGTATTAACATACATTAATATATTTCTCCCATGTGCATCAGGTATTAGTGTAGGCCTGTTGCATGGTCCATGGTGCGGGAAAGGGGGTGGGGGGGTGAAGAGAGTGCATCAAAAATCAGGCCTGGATTGTCCTACAGTACATTGCACAAAAACACAAAATTGGAATCTTAATCTAAGCCAATTACTTACGTTTTGGATAGTATACTGGATTCATTTTCTGTTGTGAGCAGTTTCTGTGAAAAGAATGATACTTAAATTACAATTAGCAAATTCTGTACAGCAATCTTACACATTTCTGCCAAGAATTTAATTTGACACGCACCTGAAAATTTGGGGTGGCCTAGGGGCAGTGGCGGCTGTAGGATATATTTTCGAGGGGGGGGGGCTGACAGGGGGACTTGAGCTTGTAGGCCTGAGCTGTGGGAAGGGTTCAAGAGGGGGTTCCCTAAGGTCAAAGCCTAATATTTGGTGAAATCTGGGCAGACATCGGCCCTTATTTTCCAAAAATGTGTGGACGGATTCCTAGGCCTTGTGCGCGGAGGATATATTCCCCTCTCAGGCCTTACTATACAGACGAATTACAGACGATAAGGCCCATTTTCGGGACGATTGGGCCAGTCTGAAAGTGGGCCCGATCGTCATGAAAACGGGCCAGATAGTCTGGAAATAGGCCCGATCGTCCTGGGACTGATCGTATTGTAGGCCCGCTCGTCAGACTGTAGGCATAGTCCATGACTGTTAATTGTACTTGTTGATGTTTGATATACTAAAATAAATAAATATAGGCCTATGATGATTTTGATGTTATCTGTATGTTAAATAAATTTAGAACGCAACAATGAATCTGCATTAAAGTGGGCCCGATATTTTACACTTGGTGGACCCGATCATCTTGGTGTGGGCCTGATCGTGTGGAAAACGGACCCGATCCTCCTGGGCCTGATCATCTTGGACCTGATCGCCTTGTGGGCCCAACTGTCTTTCACCTTCTGGAATTCATATTAAATTTCATAAATTATTAGGCCCAGACCTAGTCTTGGCAGTATTATAATATGAAAGTTAATTTCTCCCCATCACTAATCACCTTCCCTTCTTACCCTCCCCAACCTAATGGTTGGACATATTTTTTTTAATGTACAGTATTCAGTAATTATTATAAAAAATGAATAAAATATTGGTTTTTTTTTAGGACAACAGTAGGCCTGGGCCTAGCCTAGGAAAGGCTGACTGACACATAGAGAACTGTATCACTTTCCGCCCTCCACCGTGTACACGCATCCTTTATCCGGCGATATCCGATCATGTCGGTCGCACCTTCATTTCGGTCGCGCTATTTCCGTTATGCATTTCGGTTGCGGCGTATGGCGCATCAACGTAGCGACAGCAAATTTGGAACAAGGAAGCTAAGCAGTATAGTATTTTTATAAACACAAAACTTGCATAAAACATTAGTTGACTAACAACTACTGGTATTACTGTACTATAATATTATAGTTTATGATGATTAATATTATGTGTATCACTTGGTGTTACTTTTCTTTTTTACAGAAACAACGAAAAGGTTACAAAGTCAACAAGTTTGAGACAAGTTTCTCTTTAACGTTTGTTGCGATGTATATTTTATTAATGCATAAATTGAATGGAGATTTATGAAATAAATATAGTCAATAGATTAGTTTTTCATACATTTGTTTTCTTGTCTACTACGTTTCCATTTATCTTGAATTTTCTGATCATGTTTATAATTTGATAAAGGAATCTAATGAATGATATATGATGAACGAAAATGAAGAAAATATATAGTATTTTCATACTTTTTTTTTCATATAACATTTTCAATATATTTATATTTAAACACCTTACATTTAAATGGCCCATTTCAGGCTTCTTTTATATTCATAAGCCCGACAAATGACTCTAGTCATATTCTATAGTTGCGCTAGAATTTAATTTCCCACAAACTAGACTCCCATGGTACTCTTGAGGAGAAGCAGCACAAGGTTTGAATTTTCTTGTTTTTTTTTTATTTTCCATTTTTTATACATATTCTGATGTTTATAAAATACATAGTAAAATGGAGCGTTAATATATAATTTAAATTACAGTACATGTTAATAGCCATTCCACGGTTTCAGTCTTCGGGGCGGACTTCCTTCTAAAGCTAGAAAAATTCACTACTTCGAGGCCTCCTGTACTAGTTGCCTGGTAACTAACCATAAAATCGAAAAGAAACTTTCCCACAAACTAAGGTTCCCACGGTGCTCATGAGGGTGAGAAGGCATATTCTTCATATGCCGCCTTCAAGAATGTGAACGCATATACAATGCAAAGACAGAAGTAGGTCAGATGCTAAATATAGATGACTAGCTATTTTTAGCAGGTCATGGCAGTGGTAGTGAAGGTGTTCAAGTGCGTTCACCTACTTCATGTCACCATTAACTTCGAGTCATCAATCTGATGATCATATTTGTAAAAAAAAAATATTTACATGAATTGTAAAATATTATAGTTTAAATGGAATGTACAAATACATATATTTTAATATTCTGATATAAAAAAGTATACTTGATTTAACAAATTAAATCATATCGTAACAACATTCCTAGGTCTTTATTATTATGAATAATTCAGAAATTGATAAATACAAATATGTACTTGACTTTTCACTTCTGAATCTGTAAGAAAAAGAACAAGCTAAAATTATATTCAAATTACTTGCAATTATTATGATAACAATCGTAAAAAACTTAAAACAACAATCATACTAAACAAATTACAAAAAATATTAGGCCTAGGCTAGGCCTATGATAGTCAAGCATTGTAAAAAAAAAGACAAAATAAATAAAATTAATCCCCAGTCTGAAAAACACACGCACCAAAAAAACTTACAGAAAAAAATACAGAAGCCCTTTAAAAGTTACAGTACTTTCCAAACATAAAGCACTAGTGCGTACATCGGCGTTCCATACTGAGGCTGTTTATCGCGACCGAAATGCATAACAATACGGCCCGACCGAAATGAAGGCGCGACCGAAATGATCTGTATTCTATCCGGCCATGGCCAATAGACGTCCCTATCCTTGCTAGGTAGGCCTAGGCTAGACCTTCGCTACGCATTTTTGTTGTGTGCACGGCGAGAGATTCCAACACAACAGCCGTAGAATACGCAGCAATCACATACATGCAAACCGAATAGACGCTCACAATGGGATGGGAGTGGGAGGACAAGAAAAGGTGAAAGACGAGGTCATCTCAACATCACTAAATTAGACGATTTTCGAGTAAAATCTTACAACTATACTTACAACGGATAAAAAGACCAATTACTTGCTCAACTTGTATGTTCCAGTGGGCTTCTTTCTCGACTATAAGCCCTGGAATTGATGGGTTAAATAAATTATTTTTATCTTTCTTACACTGGAATTTCACCTGCTTTACGGTGCTTCTGTCTGAATTCGCATCATTTACTGAGTTTTCAGAGTGATGGGTCAGTAAGGTCATTAGCAGGTAGTAAATATAGAAACGCTCAAAGGTAGACTTAGTATTGGCAGCGGTATTTGCTAGTTGTAACTGGTTGTAAAAGATCAACGCCAATCATCTATGGACTACATCGTTATCTCACAAAATGACATCATTTATGTAAATATCAAGTAGTTCCGATTTTTATCGAAGAAAAAACGTAAAAAGAAAACATCACGCGCATTTTGTATTGATCGCGAGGTGTAAAGATAAACGTTTTAATTCTAGCCTAACCTAGGCTCCAGTTTAGACTAGGCCTATTTCTAAAACGTCTGCGGAGTTTTTATTTGTAAGTAGATTAGTAGTGGATAGTATCTGCTAGATGTACTACTAGTTGTATTTTGTAGTGGTAGGCCGCCATTACTACGGCCTAGCTAGCCTACACTCATTCGGGTCAGAGTGCCACTGAACTGAGTTAGTAAGTGAGTGGGCCCCTGTCTTCTACTAGGCCTAGGCCTACGAATTCGATCCAACTCGGCCACAAGTCAACTCGGCCACAAGTTAACTCGGCCACAAGTCAACTCGGCCACAAAAATTTTGGCTACAGTCAACTCGGCCACAAGCCAACTCGGCCACAAGTCAACTCGGCCACAAATCAACTCGGCCACAGGTCAACTCGGCCACAAGTCATTTACTGGTACTTCAATTTGAAGGAGTAATTCATCAAGTATAAAATACTAATTCTTTAAGTATTACTATACTTATTGTTACTATTATTGCTGTTATTATTGTTGTCATTGTTGTTATTGTTGTTTTTATTACCGTTAGTTTTAAAATTAATTATTAGTCTTAGCATAAATATTATATATTTGCTGATATTATTACAGTACCATATAAGTAAATAATTTTCGATTTATTATTATTATTATTATTTATTAGTCTTTAGTATTATTATTTTAATAATAGTAATTTAAAAAGTCATTGTTATTGGTGTTTTATTGGTATTTTTCTCATATTATTATTATTATTAATATTATTGTTGTTGTTGTCACCTTTATTATCGATATTATTACCCTATTATTACTAAGTAGGCCTAGTATTTAAGTATCATTATTATTATTATTACTAATTAGTATTACTATTATTATAAATAGTTTTATTTTATTATTGTATTATTGCTATTATCACCTTCAATATTGTTATTATCACTAATTAGTTACTAAAATTGATATTTAAATAATATCGTTATTATTACCATACTAGTATTATTACTATTAGTATTGTTAAAATAAATATTACTATTAATGTTGTTGTTGTTATTACCTTTATTACCGTCATAATGACTAATTAGTATTTAATTATTAAACTAAATATTATTAATTTATTGTCGTTATTGTTGTTTAATGTTATTGTTGAAGTACAGTAGAATGTTGTGAGTAAACAGAAGACGAACACATTAATAAATAACTCTTTTTAATTCGTAGGCAATAGCATTCAAATCTGTTTTGGTAGTGTGGTGGTCCTGTTTTACTAAAATATACTGTACTTTATTTTAATCATTATATTGAAGAAAAATGATGCAAAAACTACAGAGATTTACATTAAATAACTTGTGGCCGAGTTGACTTGTGGCCGAGTTGGCTGTAGCCGAGTTGATTTGTGGCTGAGTTGACTTGTGGCCGAGTTGACTTGTGGCCAAGTTGACTGTGGCCGAGTTGACCTGCACCCAGGCCTACACAACACGTTTGTATTTTATTTGTAAGCTACAGTAGGCTGGGACTTCCTAATCTTCTAAACAAACATAACGACGTTCCATCTGTATGAGTGAAATGTTAGGCTTCATCTACTACTAGGCCTAAGTACTAGTCCTAGGGCCAGGCATGGCATATATACTACTCAACTCAGACAGTAGTGTCTAGGGCCTAAATGTCTTTATGATAATTTAAAATGATATAGGTCTAGGCTAGTTAAAATAGACAGTACAAAGGGCATATAGGCCTAAAGACAAGTAACTATATAATATGATCCGTATTTTAAAATAGGTTAGGCCTAGTTCTTGTATGTGCTGTACATTTCATGAAATTTTATAATGAGACTGCTGTATCAATCAAACAACTTTCTTGCATAAGCTGGAAGGAAGTGTCCCACACGGTCAAACAATTATTAATATTTGATAAATAAATTATTTTTATGCAAAGTTGCACTTAGCCTACTTAAATATTAATTTTTAATTTCAAATTAAAAATTGGTATTATTGCTAAATTATATAGAATTTAATATCCCCTTTAGAGAGTATAATTATATTACAATTACTAAGTACAGTAATATACAAAAAAGGTGTTACCAATCTCATTCATATGAACATTTTTGTAATTACAAAACACTAGAAGTTGGAGAAAAATAAAATGATTTTATTGAAGTTGAAAGACAATGTTATTTTATTAGACTAAATAAAAGTTCATAATTTAGTTGACTTTTTGATTCTGTAAGAGATTGCCCAATATTTTAAATCTGGTAATTAAGAATTTTCAAAAGTAATTATTGTGGAGGACATTGTATACAATGAAATCAAAATATTGCCATGTTACAATGAGATGTTTAAAAACATAAACTTTCCTGAGATATATAATATATTTGTATAATTTATTTGTTAACAACAACTATTTTAATATTTGACAGAAATTGTAGATGTTTTGTGGTTGATATTTCAATGTTGCTATGATTCCTAATTAGATTGCTCTCGTTCTGAGAACCTTGACTGATAACCATGGCGACAAGTGGTGAAGCCGCCAACATTCATGGTGTTGTGAAGTCAGGATGGATGCAAAGACAAAGTGATTTTTTAAGAAGATGGAAGAGGCAGTATTGTGTGTTGTATTCTGATGGCGGGTTTTCATATTTCACAGATGAAACACGCAATGACTCACAAGGTGTTATTAATCTGCCCTCCAGATGCTGTGCGATCAATGTAAGTGAGATCCTTCAGCTGAAACAAATGAAATTAATGTGTCTTTATTATTGATGTATTCCTACAGTATATGAAGAAGTGCCATCCCAAAACCAGTGTACTGTCACTAAATGTTAAATTGAGTAATTAGTAAAAGAATATGGCAATATTGTATTTAGTACAGAGAAGCAGTAGCAATTTTACAACTCATAACTTTGATAATAGTAAGTCGATTCCAATAATGACCTATCATTTTTAAGCCTATAATAGGGAGAATACGAGTATATTAAAAAGTCTGTATTTTTGTTCTGGTCACTGATTTTGGTTTTAGCATGGCAAGCCCCATATATTATGTCTAATTATAATCAGAATATTATGTTTAATAAAGAAAAATATTTTAATCTCATTTATTTTTTCCTTAGTTGTATTTGAATATAAATTACCGATTACAGTAGAACAATTGGTCTTCAAAACCTTGAAAATTAAAAAGAAAAATGATAATATACAAAATTTGCTTAGTTAGTCATGATTTTTTTTACAAACACACCTGAATACTGTATGTCTTCTTCTTTTCATACTATAGCAAACAATATGTCACACACATTTAAACATTGTGTAGAATTTGCTGAACAGCTAAAAACTAAACACTGCTTTACATATATTATGTATTTTGATTTCCAAATTATAGTTAATATTTTTTTATGTGAGTAGATTGGGCATGAGGTACGTGACGTTGATCCCCCAGCTGACAGAACTAATAGCTGTCTGATAGAACTTAAGACGACGTCAACAGGTAATGTTGTGTTTTGTGCTGACTCCCCAGATGAAGCAGTTGCTTGGAAAAGCTCTCTCACAGAAGCGAAGCTTGCCAACGTGAGTCTTCTCAAAATCCTACTCAATAAGCATGCATGATATCAGATTTCTTCCACATTATTTCAACAAGTAGGAAAAAAAGGTAGTAAAAACAGAAAAAAAAAAAAAAACATTTACAGGTCACCCTGTAAATAATGACCCCTCCAATTAAAGACCACCTCCAATTATTGACCACTTTTATGTGGTCCCAAATTTTACAATGTTTTTTATCTTTATTATTCTAATTAGAGACCAAAGCTGCTAAAAAATTTTAATTTGATAGTGTGGACAGAACTTAAAATTGGCTGGTAATCAATTTAAGGACTTTTCAGAGAATCAAACAACATTAACCACTGACCAATCACATAGCTACCAACCTGAGCAACTTGAAATGCGTGACTACAGCAATTGGCCAGTCGCTGGGGTCCGATTTTCAGTCACATAATTAACAGTTGGTTGTGACAATGAACTCATAAGACCGCACGTGCCTCCTAGATTCCACTGCAGCTACATTTACACTAGACACAATAACCACACGACACAATAAAAATGGGTTTAGTGTTGAAGAATATAAATGATGCGATGATCATGCCGCTGTCGTGTCATTATCGTGTCTAGTGTAATTGTAGCTTTAGTGCGTGGTTGCCTGAGTTTTTTTGGTCGAGAAAGAGAAATTTTGTTTGTGACTTGATTCTCGAATGAGATAACAGCTCTCTAATGACTCAAGTTACTGCATGACAGTTTTTATATCGTTAATAAAACAAATTTCTTCTAATTTTAAATACATTTTCTACTGACTTTGTGATAATTCGTTATCACGCATGGACTTATGCTAAATACATGAGAAATTTATAACACATGTTTTTGCAAAATGCATGTTTCATCCAAAATCACTGTAAAATGCGGGACTGTCTCGCACGATGCAAGACGGCTGGTAACTAGGCCAATCTGAACAGGGCCAGGAATACAGTGTGTATTTTTCTACACTGTCGTTTTGTGGAACCATACCAACAAAGGGGCAGGGCTTAGCAAAAAGGTCCATCATATCTAACTGTGCTATCTTTTATGAGAGGATTTTTAAATACAGTTTATGTGTTACTTTATTCTTACTTGTTTAGACCCGGCAAGATATGCCGCAGCATGTCCCACAGTTTAATCGCTACTCCTATAGACCGTATGATGCTCCGCCTCCATACTCGTCGTGCCATAGGGGCGGTCGCGTCGTCCAGACCACCACTACTTATCCAGATGGTACGCAGGTTGTTAATATGAATAACGGATATCCCCGGCAAACCCGGATGTACTCATACCCAGGTCAGACCTATTACACAACCTATCAAGATCCAAATACAAGTAAGTTTTCCAGATTGCTAATAATTATCTTGGCTCAGTGGCGTAACGCCTATGCGCTCTCATGCGGCGGTCCGCAGGGCCCCCGAATTCTTGGTGCCCCAAAGGGGCCCTACCGATAGGTTCCTCAATCTAGCACCCTGACCAAAAAGGACTTTGTTAATAAATAACACCATAATGTGTCTCTGAAATCGACTGTAGGGCATGTATCATATTATAACAATTAAAGAGAGGGGCCCTGTCGGCACGATGGGGCCCCCTCTTGGCCCGGGACCTCACCAAATTTCTATAAAAAAAAATTTAAATGGAGATAAAAAGAAAATTATATTCACAATTTTAAGTTTGTGAGTGCCATTTCCAGCAATCTAGACTTGCCATATTAATACATTTTCTTATGTGAGCCCCACAAGAGCAACAGCATAAAGTGTGTCTGAAATCGACTGTAATATCATATTATATCCAGTGGCGGAATAAAGAATGTGGTGGGGGGGAGAGCTGCTGGCCCTGGGCCCCACTAAATCCGTCAAAATATTTTTTAACTGGAGATAAAAAAAGAAAATTATATTCACAATTTTATGTCTGTGAAGCACCATTTCCGGCCATCTGATGGTGCCATATTCATAAATTTTCTTACCTCGGCCCCAGCTACGGTGGGTTTGAGGTGGTATAGACTCTCCAACTGTGAAAGTCCCTCCCTGGCCTCAATTTCCTGGATCCATATTATATCATTTATTTGTCGTTAAAAACATTTAGAATAACAATGCACACATCTAAAATCCCATGATGGAATGGGTGACCGGGACCCAAAAAGGACCCCCAGTTTCAGGAATACTCAGGGCCCCCGGCATCATTGTTACGCCACTGTCTTGGCTTATACAGTTTTATGGTCTACTCTTAAGTACTATTGTTGTGGTGTGGCTTTGCTTCAATTAATTGGAAAGTGTATGATATACTGTATTAGCCGCTTGCCATAGTCATGATGATTGTTCATGTTTTACCCCAATTCAAGACCACTCTAGGACCTGAAAATTTGGGGTGGTTTCAGAGGGTTAGCTTGTGTTATTGGCAATTGATATTGGTTCTTGAAGTGGTCTTGAATTAGGGAATTAGGGAGGGATCTCGGAATTAGAAGGGCTCTGAATTGGAGGGTTCCTATGTTTAGCACTGAGCAGACTAGGAAAAATTGTATGCAATGCATGTGTGTGTGCTTTAGGTCAATCCTAGGGCCTGATCTGTAGTTTAAATGAGAAAGTGTATGCTACATGATTTAGAAAATCTCACTCAAGATTACCATACATACAGTAGTACTGTACTTTCAGTTGGTTGATCGGTAACATAGCAAGGTACGTACCTACAGCTGGTGTCAGTGGTTAGCGGGTACTGTATATTGGTTCCAATGATGGTAACAACACAGTATAACCATGCTCGCGGTATGAAGGCCTACTATAGGTGCTCACATTGGCAAATACCAACTGACTGTTTTTTACATCGATTGATATACTTTTTGATTAATTGATTATCATTATTAACTTTGCACTTAATGCTTGCAGTGTGAAGATTTTGTGTTGTTTGGAGAAAAGGTGACAGTGAGTCCTCCATTATCACTTGAATTCTGGCTGCAAAGATATTTACTAAACCTCCGACCCTCCCCTCCTACTTTAACTCTCTGTTTTTGTGGGGTTTTTTGTGTGTGATCAATCGAGTCTACAGTGTAGGCTAGGTATATTATTACATTTTGCTCAATCACCAAAACAAAACTTAAATTGTTGTTTATGTAACTTAATCCTGTTTTCAAGAAATCTAAATTAACATTTAATTGCATATCAATATCTGATCACATGTTATTGCATGTTATCAATTTCCGATCACATGTTATTGCATGTTATCAATTTCCGATCACATGTTAATTGCATGTTATCAATATCTTATCACATGTGTATTGCTTGCTATAGTCTCCTGTAGTGTTTTCACTAAGATTTTAATTTTATTTGCCTTTTTATTTTCTGAAAAAAAAAAATTATTTTGGTTCTGTGCAAAGTATTAATGTGGAATACTCTTTTCTCACAGCCTACTGTGTTAGAAACACTTACTATCGTTATTAAAAGTGAGTTTTAGTTTTTTCCACCAACTTTTTACATTCACTTCCATTGATCATTTCTTTCAATTCATTCAGGAGATTCAAAATTTCTGCCATTAATTATTTATTTCATAGTTTGATTGTTGTTTGCTGGGTTACCTAGGGTCATTTGAGGAAAATTTCATAGAAGAACCTGTGAAAGATTGTGGTTTTGGTAGAAAACCCTAGATTATTTATTTTTCTAGTCATGTGTAGTTTTTACTGAGGCCTGTTTGACATTGGTCCATACATTGTGAGAGATTAGTTCATACCAAATCACCCACCCCTTCCCCTTGGGTCTAATGGCTTTCATTGTTTTTGTCTCATATTGTATTCATGGCTCCTAAACTTGCTGAGATATATGGTTTAATATTAAAACATGACTTAATTTATTCCCATGCTTGAAATACATTGTCATGCAGTTAGTGATTGTTTATTAATCCATATTTTGACTTTTACTGTCTTTTATGTATTTTATGTTCTTATTTATATTTTTATATTTACATGGATGGTTTTTTTTATCTGAATTTCAAAATTCATCAGTAACACTAACAGTGTTCACTATATGTCAATATTAGCTCCCATCCATTCTTCAATGATGTCTTTATTTCATTATATAATATTGTTGTTTATGATCATGCTTGTGAAATGATTTCAACCATAAAATCGCTCTCATTTATGGAAACAAAATTCCAAGAATCAAAAAGACAAAAAACATACAACTAACATGAGTCTTAATTATCAAACTTTCTTCTTCAGTAGTGTCAAATCCAGCCGGCACGAACACCACTGTTATTTACAACCAAGACCGACGTAATAATACCGACGCTGCATTTGGATTCGCTACAGGAGCAGCCGTTGGCGCATTGATGTTTTCCCCAATTTTATTTTGGTAGCAGTGGTTTCATATTACTACTTTCAATATACGGAAGCATCTTTCTTTTTCTGTTGTAATCACTGTTATGGTGATTGTGATTATACAGTATTGGAATACAGTACAGTAATTATTTTTGAAAAGTTTTATGAGAAATATGTGCAATGCTCTGGCGCATTCCATCATTATTGTTGGATTTTAATGAAATCAGAAATTATCAATCCCTGTTAATTGGTATTATGCATGAAATTTTAATAAGCTATAAGCAAAAGTGAGTTAAGTGACCCAATGTAAAATAATGTTAATATTAATAATTTATCATTCATAGAATAATGTAGTGTATCATTCCAATTAATGACCCTGCTTCTAGTTTAACCATGGTAATTGATTGTATATTGATTATTTTCTAATAATTATATTAAATAATGATTTTTTTTTTAATTTTTTTTTTTCATTTTTTTTTTTTAATATTGAATATTTTGTTTGGATATTGAATATCAGTGGCGGATTCAAGAGGGGACCCAGTCGGCCCAGGCCCATTTCCGACCATCTAGAGATGCCATAATCATACATTTTCTTACCCAGCCCCAACAATGGTTGGGCTGAGGTTGTATAGATCCTCCATCTGTGAAAGTCTCTCTCTGGGCCCTCTCTATTTCAAATTCCTGGATCCGCCACTGAATTATGATTATTTGCTATAGATTATTGGCTTTTGCTAATTTGATTATTATTGATTGATTATTGGCTATTGTATTTTCATTGCTAAGGAGCATTATAATTTATGAAGTATAGATATATCAATGGTTTGTGAAATCTAATGTAAGAAAATATGTAAATAAAATAATTTTATAACAATATTAATTATTGATATACTGTAAACAGTAAATAGGTATAACTATGCTTCAATATGTAGATAGATTATCATACTGGATTAGTTTGAAAATATATTATTAGTGTTGTATAATCCCATGTAGATCAAATGTATGTTATCACATTTTATGTTATCTGATTGCATGTTGTATGCTGGTTGCAGTTCGATGCCTTGTAAATGTGGTAATCACCTTTGTTGCCTGATCATATGTTGGTGATAACAACTTATCAATTGTCTGATCACATTACTGTATGTTGGTGATCACATCCATTGCCTAATCCTATATATTGCTATTGACCATATGTCATGACTTGCCTGATCACATCATTTCATATGGTGCCGATCACATTTTACCACTTTAAATACATGTTATGTTGACCATATGCTTTCATTTGTCTGATCACATGTTATAAGTTGGTGATCTCAGGTTATATATTGGCGATCAAATCCCAGCTAACAATATTACGTTCTAAGAACGTTATAATAACGTTACATTTTGGAGATAAAAACGTTATTTTGTAGAACGATATGTACGTAATTATAACCTAATTTCACAACGTTGTGTGAATGTTATTTTGTGACATCTAATCGCAACATTCGCAAACGTTATAAGAGCATTTTGTGTTTGCTGGGATGTTATCAGTTGCCTGATCACATGTTATATGTTTGTTGATCACATGTTATATATTGGTGATCACATGTTACCAGTTGCCTGATGACATGTTATCAGTTGCCTGATCACATGTTATATGTTTATGATCACATGTTATATGTTGGCGATCTTAGGTTATATGTTGGCGATCACATGTTACCAGTTGCCTGATCACAGGTTATATATTGGTGATCACATGTAATCAGTTGCCTTATCATTTTATATGTTGGAGATCTTAGGTTATATATTGGCAGTCACTTACGGTATTGACTACTTGTTATTCATTGTCTGATCACAAGTTATATAAACTATCTAAAACGATTGTTTATAATAGGTTTATAACACATCTTGAAACAAAATGTTGATCACATGTTATCAGAATTGTGTTGCATCTAGTGGCCAAGTAATTACAACAGGAGGCAGATCAGTGGCGGCACCAGGATTTCCCAGACCGGGTGTTCAAAGTCCCCGACAAGAAAAAGTGGGCGTGGTCGGGCGTCGGTAAAAACCTTTAGAAAGTGGTCTAGAAGGCGTAGCTCCCCGAAAATATTGCAATTTAGGGGTTTCATTTCATTCTATTAATAGGCCCTATGTATAAAATACATATATATTTTTTTAATTTATTTTTTCTCCCCGACGAATTGTGGTTTTTCTACCCGAAGGGGTGGGGGGAAGGAGGGGTGCTGTAGCCCTGCCTAGCCCCCCCCCCCCTAAGGCAGATTATTTATATGCAAATTAAATGCACATTATAATTGAACTTAATTTATCTACCAATTGTATTATGCAGAGTTATAATTACTACTGTACAGGTAAAACAGCTTTAATTATAGTTATCAGACAATTAACAAAATACATGTTTTGACCTTAATTAACGGGTCACTACATTTGAATAGGAATACCAATTTCCAAAAATATTCTTTTTTCACTGTGAGTATTGCAAAAGCATTATTTTAATTTTTTTTTAAGGCCATAAATGTATACTTATTAAATATGTATTAGATAATGGTTTGTGCTTAAAAAATAAAGTGAAAATGTATTTTTTGTGTATTTTTCCTTAGAAACAAAATGGATCTCTGACACCATTGACTGATCTCATATTGACTTTCCCCTTAGCAGTCGTTCAGATAATACTTGCTTCCGTCATGTATACTTGTAATTATAATGATAAGAATATCATTTGAAAATGTTCACTTTTATTTCACTTTAATAATTTACATATAGGTGTATTTACTAATTACAGAATCCTAGTGGCACGAACCGAGGAGGTACAGTACATCCCCTTAAGGTGGCCCTGGAACTGACCTTAAAATTCAGTAAACTATAATTAAAAATTAAAACAAACAACAAAGGAAAATATACATATAAAAAAAAGGAAAAACTAAAACACCAAAAGCAAGATTGAGGTTATGAAAGCCCCAATATTTGGGCCCATAATGTTAATAGAGACTGTTTTGTCTTTTTCTTACTCGAGGAATGTGAAATGAAGAAGCCTGCAGGGTGGAATAAAAATAATTATTTGAATTAAGAATAAAATGATTCGCTAAAGCAGATAGAATCTCCATCCCCAGAATTCAGGTTTAACATGAAAATCCCAACCCAACATTAAAATAAAAAAGGTCTATAATTTGAATAATGCCCTTTGTTGAAGCACACGACAACATAATGTTGGCGATTGTGATGTGACAGTATAAATGGCAGTGGCGGCGGCAGGATTTCTTCGACGGGAGTCCAAGGTCCCCGGGGGGGGGGCTGATGTCCCCGACGAGAAAAAAGTGGGCGTGGTCGGGCGTCACTAAAAACCTTTCGAAAGTGCTTCAGGAGACGTAGCCCCGAAAATATGACAATTTAGGGGTTTCAAAGGCTTATTTTTCCGATTTTAGAGTATTAATATGTACAAAATACATATAATTTTTTTGAATTTGTTTTTCTCCTTGACAAATTGTGACCCCCCCCCCCAACTAGCCGCACCCCATCCCGTAGCGCCGCCACTGATAAATGGGTTCGTTGTTGAGTGTTTATGTGTATTACCTTCGTAGTACGTTAACAATTCGGTACTCTAGGCCTCCTTAAAGGCCTATATAAATTAGTTTATATTGAATGTGATGTGATTTACATAAACTTCTTCAAAACACCGAGAAAGGCCTCAAACTTCTGAATTTCTAAACAGGATTGCTAGATTTAAATTGTCATTTTTAATACTGGTGATCAGAATTTATGATTACATTACAAGTAAATAATAACGTTTAACCGGGTCATATCCTCTTAAGAGTGTAAATTTCAGAGAGGTGTTTCCTGATATTTAATATTCGTCATTTTTTATTTAACTGTAAATAATTTGATACAATCAGAGAGGCAGAATTAGCTATCTTAAAACAAGACTTAAAACTTTGCAACGAGACTACAATTTGGAATAATTTTTCCGAATTTGATATTGATGATAAAATTCATTTTGTCATTTTTCTCGGTTAATGCGCTTTACAGCGACCATCACCTTCGATTTTTCATAGTTAAAACTTAGCTTCCACTCTTTTGCATACTTCCATGCAATATGTAACATTTTTATCATTTTATGTTCATTATTTGCTAATAAAACAACGTAATCGGCCCAAAAGAGGCCTCCCATCCATAAGCCATTCATTCTAACCCCCATACCATTCTCTCGAATAATTTTTACAAATTCATTTACATAAAACTACAAATCATGACTAATCAGCATTAGAGATTATTAAAATAAACTGAACGTGTATGAACATCAATTTAACTCTGATTAGAAAACTGTAGAGGTCAGACTACATTGTGCAATGTCCTTTCCCATACTGACACTCGGACTCTGACACTAAAGTAGTTAGACTGAAAAATTGTTTAGAACCTATTTATTATCAGGTTCAAAACAGCCTTCACTAAGGTGTGACGTAATATAATTTTCGTAAAGTTGCTATACCTTTAATTAGTAACAAAAACTTATAACCCTCACCCTTGTGTCCTGTACCCGTGTACCCTGCATCTTTTCCCAACACCCACAATATAACATGCACCTTTGTGCCCAACTCACATCTGCTGCCTAAAGCTATTATAATAAATTAAAATGGTCGCGAGTGCTTCTTAATCCATAACTTGGACTTATTCGGACCAATTATAAGAGCAACAGTATAAGCTTTGAAAGGTCCACGGGATAATTCTCAGATAAGAAATATATAATATACTCCAAGTACAGTATTACTTGGAGTAGGCCTATGTATTACACTTTCTTACAAGTATAATCTCTCATTCTCTTATATGCTGTTGGATCGGAGTATATTCGTTTCTACGTAACTGACGTCTGTACTCAACAATCAGAATACCGAATGCAATAACTACAAGGACACCAATAGTGATTCCAAATGTTATTAACAAAAGCGATCTATTTGAGTTCCCCTTTAACTCGTACGGCCCCGCTTTATTTAGTTGAGGTGTTCCGTTATCTTGGTGATCAGTCATTACCTGCCATGGTAAACTGGTCATATTCGTGAACAAGATATTTGGATCTGGACCGATAGTCATCCCAACTACCTCTGATGCGCTAGAGTTTTTCTCTAACTCGCTTTTCTCTGTGTCGGCCGGCAAGAATGCTTCATCTTGACTTTCAATCACTACCTCCCATTGCTGGCTTGTCTTGTTTTTCACCCACACATTTGAGGCTGTACCGACTATGTACAATGTTTCAGATATATTGGAATTACGACTAGGTTTTTGAGCGTAGGGAGGACGGTAAACTTTTGGCAGTTCCAAGCGTGAAAGAACATTTGCTTTGATACAGACATCAATACCACAATCATTGTCTATGGCAGCAAAATGCTTTTTATATCCAGTCGGACATTCCTGGGGCCAGCTTCCCGAACCTGTTGTTTGGAAGAATTCAAAGATACTATAAACTGGTGGTTTTCTTTTACTACTAGGCAAAGACAATGGATTTCCTGCCGAACAACTAAGGAACCCAGCAAATGGAAAGGAATACCTGTAGCCTAGTTCATAATCATCGCTGACACATACAAATAATTCAGCTCCCATTCTTAGTGGTAGAAAGGCGTTTGGACACCCTTGGGTCTCTGTCAATGTATTCAGCATGGAGAACGTACTATAGACACCACCGAACAGGTATCCAGATTCTAGAGGAACTGTCCCCGTAGCGGCACACCAGAAAGTCTTGTAAATAGCCTCGATGGAGGAGCTAACATTTTCACATGAATTCTTGCAGTCAAAAACCCAGAAAAAACAATTCTCCTTGCATTCTTTTCTGCTGGTAGTGTAAACATGGTAACCAGTATTTAGCTGAACATCCTCGTAACCTGCCGGACAACTGAATTCGCCTGTCAATGGGTTTTTCTGTAACAAATTCGAACAAAAATCTTCGGCGTTTGGTCCCATTTGAGCTTCACATGTTTGATAGACACCACCAAATGAGTAATTATTGTAAGGTGCAACACATGACCCGTCGTCTAGATTTGCTGTGAAATTAAAGTTAGGTGATTTCATTTTGGTGCATCCTGTGTATGTGTTCTCCTCATAATAACGTTTTACTTCCTCGTAGATTAATTTAGAGATTCTGTCCACCATTGTTTCAGGAAAATCTGGTAAGGTGTTCGTTGTAACAATATAGTGCAGTGGATCTCCGTCCCGATCGATTGCAACCAGGTTCTTCGGCAATCCATCTTGCCATTCTTTTATTGTCTGGTTTACTTTATATGGATTACCACCAAAAGTCTGGTATATCGAGGAAGTGCGGTTTGTGAGGTAATACTTAAGTACTTCATTTTTTATAGTGGTTTCAAACCCACCACCAGCCAAAACCCTGTTGAACAAGGCACTAGCAGCCGCTTTAACCTGATATTTCTCTAGAGAAGGATCATTGACAAAAGAAATTTTAATTTGATCTTGCTGGAGAAAAATACCCCCCAAATCCACAGACGTCACCACGTGTGTTCCGTAGTCTCGCACTAGGAGTTGAGTGAGGTATCGTGCCGTACGTGTATCATTATTCTGATCGTACGCACCAATATCGAGGACACGTGACTTGAATGTAGGATGTAAAGTAGGATTGTCGATGCGGGCTGTGTACAATTGATGACGTACTTGAACGCGAGTTGTTGACGATTTTTCGTTCACTTGATGCTTCTTTACAGATTCTTTTTCGTCTGAAAAACTTCCAGAAATAAGGCTATATGGAAATGATGCGTGTGCGTTTATTGAATAACTCGATGTACTTGTGTAGTCCAACCAGTGTTCAAACAACTCCGAAGATATCTTGACCTACGGATAAGTGTAAGAGGGAACTTAATTTGATTTTTTTTAAATAATTGATATATATATATA